AGCGGGGACTTGAACCTGAGGTATCCCAGCTCAGAAACTAATGCCTCCTACCATTCTTTCTCCCTGAAGACTTTAGTGGTGTTGCACGGGAAGGGCAGAGTGGGCCCCGTTTCTTCTGTTGCTTTTTTTTATGAGTGCGATGACGTGGTCTAAATTAAAAGAAAAATACAAAAAGACTGCCATAAATTATCCACATACAAAGGCCTTGTTCATATTTATCCTACGGTCCCTTCAAATCTTTCTGGCAGAGCACTAATGATGTTAACATCCCCTTTCATATACCTTCTGCCTCAGAGGAACACCAGGCAAACAAAAGCGTGCTGGTGACAGGACATTTGCAAATTCTGAGGCCAGAACAACTCTTTTCCCCAAAATACCGAAGACTCCCCAAATGCCTGCCAGAACCTGTCAGCCAGAAGCCTCACCATCCACACGGTACCCCCTGAGGTATAATGAAAGCAGAGGGGGGCTGGATTTCTGGCTTCCCACCCAGCATGCCTACTGACATCAACAAGAACTGGTGGTTACTGTATGGGATTTGTGAGCATTTGGTGCCTTAAAACAAGGCTGTAAACATAGTCACATACTTTGTCCCCACCATGTGGGTCATTCACCCAGCACACACCTGGTGGAGTACCAGGAAGCTGTTGTTCTGGCATCTTGTACTTCAGCACTTATTTACGAATGAGGTCAGAAATTAGGAAGAGCTGCCACACTGGGATTTACAAACACTATGTAGGAAGGCTGTAGCAGGGATTGGCTCCCATCACAGCCAGCCCCTAGAAATTGAGAGCTTCCTTTCCTTTCTCCCAGTGGGCTCAGGGGAAAGGTTTTTCCTATTTGACTTTGTTATCTTCTCCAGATCCATCAGCTCTGTTTTCTGTGCCGGCAGTAGCTACTGAGCTTAATGGACTCCATCCTCAGACTGAGGGAAGTTCTGAGGTGGGACTATATTAACATGACGGCAGACAAGATGGTTTCCATTTATTTTGGGCTCTGTTAACTCTGTATGGGTCTGATTTTGCATATCCTTGTGTGAAGGGAGAAGGGAAAGGCTGTTGATGTACTGTAAATGATGACTGGGATTGCCTGGAAGTGATAAATGATTTGTTAGCTATTTCAAGAATGGACTGATTTGCCCCTTGTCTATAAAATGCATGAATGTTGAATGATGCTGGCCACAGCAGCTGCACAATGATTTTTAAAGCCAGTTAAGGAATTTGGATTCCTGACAGCCTGAATGTATTTTACCGATGTCTCTTAAGTATGTATATTACATGGAGATGTGATGGATATAAAGCAATAATAAAAGCTAAGCAGAATTAGTGAGCAAAATAATTCCCTACTAAAAACTATCTCTGGTTTTACAATCAACTTATTGGACCACTATATTCTATGAACTTTTCCTTGCCCTTAGCTGCAGATGATAACACAGAAAATTCTCCTGTATTGAAGAACTGTTATAGATTAAGATGTCTTGACAGTTCGGATTTTACTTAAGCAATTACAAGAGCCCTTTCTACAAAATGTATTGATTTTATTCCAGAAAAATAAATTCCCATGTACAATTGGGTTTTCATAACATGAAACAATTAGCCGTTTTATTGCTAGTGCATATAGGGTAACGTCACATTTCATACAATTTCAGTACAAGTGAAAAAATATAATATATGGCTGATTGAAATTGATAGCTACATTAACATTTATAGATCTATATAGATTTATTTTACAAGCTGTTAGTAGTTTAGAGGGATATCGGTGTTTCAAACTACCAACATTCATATGGCTCCAATTCAAATATATGAATTGTTTGATGCGCTATAAATATATTCCAAAAGTACATTTCATTGAAGAAGTCAAAGCTGTGCACTAAAATATATCAAAAACATGCCTTGTGAAAATGCTACAGACAGAGCCCTGACTGTCTGTGGAGCATGAAAATGCCACTGGTGCTAGCATTACTAGTTGGAAAATGAAAACAATGCCATGATTACAGGATTGGGTGATGAAGATATATGCTTTCTGTCATCTTATTTCTTAGAGCTGGGACCAAATTCTCTTCTGTTACTCAATGTAAACCAGGATGAAATCCACCAAACTAGCAGAATTGCTTCTGGATTAGCATTAGGTAAACAAAACCCAGAATCTGGCTGTAGATCAGGCATGGGCTCACTGGTTTCAGTAGAGCTGGCCTCAGATCTTCACTTTTGGAAGTGAGAGCAGAATGTGTTCCAGCTGAGATGTCCCCTTAAGTCAGGCAGGCAGGATCTGAGCCCATAATCACATTTGCCCAACCCTACAAATTTCTTAAGTGCCTCCTAAATTTCAGGTCTTATGAACAGCACCAAGATGGGGATGAGAGCAAACAGAAACTTTGACAGGAGCTTGAGGATTTTCCAAAGTTGGAAACCAAAGTAGCTCAAGCCCCTAGGATAGTCAGCATGGGCCACATCCTGCTCTTAGGTTCAGTTGTGCTTAAATCCAAAGCCATTCTGGCATCATTAACCTGGATTACCTCCACAGAGAACTCACCCAAAGGACAAGAGGGCTGAGTGCTGGCAGCAAAGGCGGCACTGAGCATTGAATGAGATGGGAAGAGCTGTCAGGGCTGGAATCACAGTCAGTTTGTTAGCTGGCTTCCTGCCCCCTTCCTCAGTCTTGGCACCAGTGTGGTCCCAAAAGGGACACATGGAGGAATTTCTTTAATTCTGTTAACATTTTGTCCCCTTGCATATCGTAAAAACACAGGGGGAACAAAGATTTTTTTTTTTCAACTCTACTTCTTGTTTGGCAGACACGTTTACAAAATAAACAGTGAAGGGCATTCGGCTACCTGTACTGCCTCACATCTTCCCTGGGGCCATACCCTTTCCCACATTTCTCCAAGAATGCATTGCTTTTGTAAATGACTGGATTCCAGCCCTACCTTTACTCTACAGGTGCAGGTGGGGCAACGTTCAGCATGGTTACAGCGTGGTTACTGAGGGGTGGGAATGTGGTGGCAAGGGTGGGAGGGATACTGAGTGCACAGGTAGGCTTGCTGGCCAAAATGTCACTGCTGGAACAACTGCAGCCCAGGACTCTGGGCAAGCAAGGAAACGCTTTGTACCATCACTTGCCTCATCTTCCACCCCAGGAAGGCTGGAGCCCTCCCCTGCAACACAGCACGGAAATAGTCTCTGAGCTGCTCTTGCTCACCTTAAAATTGAACTGAGATAGGCTAGATCCACCTCAGAGTAGCCATGATCATGTGCTTTTAAGGGAATAAAAATAGATTTAAAAAATCTCAATTTGCCAATTATGGCTGGTTTTCCCCTGGCCTTGTGGGAGAGCCTTATTCACGGCAGTGCACCTTGCCTTGGCACTCCACACTGGCCAGCAGAGAAACAATTCTTATCGCCAAGACCCCCTAGGCCCCAGCTGCCTGTGCAAACAGATCCCCAGTGTAACATGGAGAAGGGGCTCCAAAGAAACTGGAACAATACAGATTCTGAAGTAATTGTAGTTTGGCTTGGGGAAGAGGAGGCATAAAGGAAGCTTTTTCCTTGGGAGAACGGCTTTTTTAAAAAGAGGATGAGTTGGAGACCCCAGAACAAATTCATTAAGACAGATTTTGCCTCAAACCCTGGCAAAACTCTTAGTTTAATATTTACGATATACTAGAAGCTGTTGTTTTAATACAAACTAGGTCAACTCCAAACCCATCTTCAAAACAATATCTGATTCCACGAGTACTTTGTCCACATGGTAAAAGCCAGCCCTTAATGTTCTACCCTTTAATAACTCAGGATGTTAGCTGTTAAGTCCATTTGTCTCTTGCCTTACTTGTTTAAAGCTTTCTCCAGATATTCCTGTATCCACTTTAACTTGGGATCAATGCACACTTGTTTGCTGTTGTTCTTGAGCCTTGCACTGCCAAAGGAGAAAAGTCAGAGTGAGTCTAGTGTGCAACACTCCTCAGCCCACAGCCACCACCCCACACCTTATTTTCCTTGGGTATCAGTGCTGCTCTCAGTTAACCCATGAAGAGGGTGGGTTATCCCTGCCATCTCGAGACACCTATTACAAATATCCCTGGTTTCACAGCACTGGTACCATGTCTCCTCTGATGCTGATTCTTGTGGTCTGTACTGGGGTGTATGTGGGGGTGGGACAGATGCAGAATTTGAAACTAAGTTTTCCAATTCATACCTGAGCTGTTACGAGTTCAGTGCCAACAACAGCTAAATTTCATTTGGAAATACTGACATGGTAAATATAGGTCATTTTTGCAAAGTATTAATTAAGAACAGCTTTCAGATTTGACACAAAATTGAAGTTTCACATGATTTGAGGACAGACACCAACCCATGCCTCTTGGATGTTCTGAAAGGGTCTGGTCATTTGTTAGCTTTTTGTTTTATACAAGACCGCACTAACAGGTTGCAGGCAGGAAGACAACTGGAAGTACTATAGTGCCAGATGTAGGTTTTCCCTCATGTATGCACTCAGTACTGGAAAAAAAAGCAGTAACCTCCTGAGGGATTTCTCCTCTTTCCACACGAGACTGTTTAGCTAATCTGAATTCCCTAATGTGAATTTGGCATTTGAGCTATCTGCATCTTTCATACAGAAGCAGTACAAATAGCTTTTCACCCTTACCAATAGGTCTCACCCTCCAGGGCTCTCAGGGCCTCTGTAGAGTGCTGTGATCTTCCATGTTCCCTGAAGCACCCTGCCTCTGCCCAGTGGCCCAGAAATTTCCCTTTAAACAGCCTGCCTACCATGCAAAGGTGCCAAAAGCAGTAGTTTCATGGATATGCCCACAGGAATAAGTTGAGTACTTGTTTAAGCATTTTGATGGATGGAAGCAAGAATGTTCCCCGCTTTATAAAATGAAATCTGCAGTATATAAAACTATGGCGTAAGAAATAATAGATCAAAAAGGCTCCCTGATCTGAAGTTATGCAACACCACATTTGTAACATAAACACATCAAAGATCCAGTCTTGCAAGCCCTGTGCCAATGAAGAGATGAATGGGCCTAATTCATATTTCCCTTGCAGGAGTGCCAAGCTGGAGTATTTCCAGTGAAGTGATACCAACAGAGAGTAAGAATGGATTTGCTGATGTTAGCAATGCCTGGGAACTCTTCAGCTGGTCTCACAGGGTCCAGAACCAAAAGTACATGTAACCGGCCTCCAGCTATATGCAATGCAATTCCTCACACCTAATATTAAGACATTGATTTTTTTAGACATTTCTTTCTGAGCCCGTCAGCCCCTACTGCTTGTACAGTCATGGCAGAGACCTAGGCAATAGTACAGAGTGTTAATCTGAACTGGTTTAGGTGTCTACTTTAGGATGCAATTAATTGCATGCTAAAAGTGCCTATTTCGCTGTACTGAAAAGCAGGGAATTTAGGGTGGGCTTTGTAGAAGTACGCATTGACAGAGGAGATTTCTGGATGTGGAGAGATGACTTCTAATACAGCCAAAGACAGAAGCCCGCTCTTGGGCTTTTTGTTCGGGTACAAGTCCCCTCAACCATAAAGGGGAATGTACTTGTGCAAAAACCACAAAATCGTTCCTTGAAACTGTATGATTCTCTATTCCTGAAAACAGTAGCTTTTAAGTTACTTGCACCTTCACTTCACAAGCTGTATCTACCAAATTCAGAGCGTGCTTGAAACCATCTAGATGAGAAATTTATATGTTAGTTTTGATTCCATTTCAGCTTCTATTTCTATAAAGACCTAATTTGAAGTCATGATGTTTCAGGGGCAGCTGGAGATAAGTTTTTAAACACCTTTTTAAAGTAACAAAAAAATGGTGAACTATAGGTTCATGTGTTCCGTGTGCCACTAAATCACATTGCAAACAAACACATTTGGGTCAGGAATGGACAAGAACATGAGTTGTTTGTGTTTCTGCGTTTCATGCTCTTGTCTATCTCTAATGAGTATGATCCCACGTTAATTAAGGGATAAATGTGTACTCTATCCTGTCTTAAATGCCTGTCATTTTCCTGAAACTACTCCAGAAAATTCCAAATCCTCCACAAAGCCTTAGCACCGGGACCCTTTTAACATCCATTGACAGCCCCAGAGCACAAATCCGTACACTATTGTGTTTTGGATGTTTGCCTCCAGAATTGTTTATAGGTAGAGATCAGAGTTAGTCACAGCTGGCTTTGCCATTTTTGTGAAAGGAAACTATTTCTCAGCTGAGGCTTACATTTTTCTCACTGTCCTCCACCAAATCCTAATGCAGAAGCACACATGAGAAAATGCATATGATTTACCCAGAGTGGTTTAAAAAAAATCGTACAAATCAAAATTTGTTCATGAATGGATACATGCTCTTCAATATCTCTTTGCATTCCTGAGAAATGTCATGAAACCACATCAGTTTTCTGAGTGCAGGAAAGTTTTGGATGACAAAGAATGGATTTCTACAGCATTTCAGTTGCAACTGGAAGAGCCTGACATGGATCAAAGACAGAACTAGTGATGGGACAACTGCACAGAAACTCAATCCAGTCACTGAGACTCTTACAGAGGTCAACAGAAGTTGAAAGAAGTAAGGTTCCCTTGCAACGAAAAGATGAATGATTTTTTTTTCTTCTTAATATTTTGAATTTTGGGAGAGGAGGGAGGGTGTCACCCATGAATAAATGAACCAAAAAGACCTTCCTAAACACACACACATAAACACACACAAATCTACAACCCTATTTTTTCCGAAAATCGGTGTTTCTTTTTTCAGCAAAAATGTAGAGGTTATTTTCCATTGGGAACCCATCGTTTCTGTCCTGCTGTGACCTGTGATTTAGTGGAGTCAGTCACTGACTGGCAAGCAGTGTCCAGCCAGCAAATATTTAGGGTCTGTACCTCCTGTAGAGGCTACATGAAATCCAGGAAGTCCTTTCACTTGTTTAGCTCCTCTCTATGGAGAAGTGGAGCATCAGAAGACTAACATCACTGTGAAGTCTTTTTCCCAAGGTGTGAAGCTCCACATCCAAGGCAATGGACAGCCTGTCTGACATTCCTGCTCACATAATCATGGGGGAACAGGACATGGGATCACAGAGGTAGAACACAGCTGGGGAACATCTAGTTGGGCTCCTTTGTGTGGGGTAAAGCAGGGTCCAGTTGTATCTGACACACGAGGTGAAGAGACGAATTGGAAATCATGGCATGAGACAGACCAAATTGCAACTACCAAAGCAGGAATCAGCTGTGTGACTCTTCTTTTGACACCTGAGTTTCGCACCCAGCTGGAAAGAGTAAGAGACTTACACAATCTGAAGTGAGCAGTTGGGTGTGGAGAGGATTTTGAGGTGCTTAATGTTGGCTCTTGCCACGTTGCTCTCGTAGAATCGACAGGGGCATCGGTAAGTCAGGCTGACGGGTTTCTCTGCAAGACACAGGGAGAGAAAGACACATTACTCCCTCTTACTCCCGGTCAGCAGCACAGATACATAGACTAGGGCTGACAGAAACTCCCTCCAAATACACAGGTGAAAAAAAGCAATAGAAAAGCTGCAGCTTTGGGAAAGCATTTGCCCACAGCTCACGGCACAATCCTTTTACCTCAGTACCCAGCCTTTCAATAATGATGTGTGGGATTTTGGAAGACAAAAGAAGAGGGAGAGAAAATGGAGATAAGTAAAGAAGAAGAGATTAGAATGAGGAGCCCATCCATTGTGCAGGGATGCTCCTGGTAATTAGACAAGATAAAAGCCAAAAGAGGGGCACTTGTCCTCAGTGTTGTTCTTATCAAACGATTTTGACCCGAGGCCAAATTAGAAGGTAGCCAGAAGAAAGCGATGAATTCCAAAGAGTTCAGATCAAAACGGCTCAGCTCAGGTGCAGGCTTTTCAGCGGGGACTTACTGGCTGCATAAAAGCCCTGAGTCTTTCACGCTTTCCAAGAGCCCAGCGGCTGACCTTTCCTCACTACAGCCAGCCTTTACTCCCAGCCGAGATACTCGCGCAAGGAGGTGCCACTCGGAGATGCGAGACCACAGTGGTTTTGCAGGAGAGATCTGGAGTCTTTTGAACTCTCAGCCTGTGGCAAAATAACGGCAGTCGAGGAGACAGTTACCAGGCAGTGCGCTCTCCACGTACTAATCAGGGACCATCAGACTAGATAAGAGTTTTATCACTGGCATCCCTAGGGACAGAATTAAGTTGAGCCCCCTAGGCTAAAGATGAGCCATGTATCTATGCATGCAGAACTGAGAATAGCAGCCGGCACTCACCACCGCCACGGATGTAGTCCTGCTACCTGATTTCTCCATGGTAGAACTTAATTACTGGCAACCAAGTGCACATAAATAAGGTCCTCAATGTGTGTAAGTTTCAAAGCGCCATGCACACTAAAATACAAACACAGAAACCTTGCCTGGATGTCTAAAAGGAGCTGCCTAAGATTTTAAACAATTTCCCAGAGGAGCAGCTTTCAGCTTCTGGGAGGAATTACATTCATGCACCTAACACATAAGGTCTGGCTCACGATGTAGATGGTCAGATCTGTATCTGACAGGGCTTTAGATCCCACATAGCAATCTGCTGCCCTGTTTATTTAGCCACACAGGAGCACTCACAGCAGCCAAAACCAGTTCCCTTAAAGGCAGATGGAGAGCTAAAGAGCAGGGAAAGGCTCGGAATACCTAAACTGCCGTCTAGGAAGGTGAGAGAAGAGACAGCTTTTCAAAGTGCAGCTGATCTGCATATATTGCACATTTACCAATGCCTGTCTCTAGCACATGTGGTGAAATTACCCTGTCCTCAGGAGGGAAACCCTTTTTTTTTTCCCAAGTGACTCTACCAAGAGGTGAGCCAGAACCAGATTCCACAGGCAGATGGGCAAAGAGAAAAGAATTCATCAGTGGGAGCAGAGTTCCTCCAGATTCAAACCAGGATCTGGACTATAAATTAACAATATTGGAAGATTTCTTCTATCAGTTTTATGGCAGTCCGAAGAGTCATATCATCTATGAGTTAATAAATGGGAGGAGAAGCTCCCATCTGCAGGGGCAGGAGGATGGAGGGCTGCAGGGTGAGCCTCCCGAACATGCACTAGACTGACTAATGTTAGTGTGGAAGGGAGGAAGAAAGGCACTAGGGTTTCCCACTGCCAATCTGTGCCTGATAATGCACATCAGTGAGTTTGTATTGGAAAGGGAGGCTGAAATTGAATGCAATCATACAACAACGCTCAGCACAACTGCAGTGGAAGTACCAACCAAATTTAAACAAGCTTTACCCTAAACAACACGCAAGAAATGAACTGTTCAGATCTATGATTTGAGAATGCAATCCTGTCCTCTCTGAGATTGGGAGAGGGACTTTCGATCCCCTACCACTTGAAATCAGAAGCAGAGAAAGTTTAACCATGACTAACATGTCCATGAATCCCAAAGCTGTTTCCTGCCCAAGAAATGGCATCCAGCACAGAAAGGAAGATGGGAATCCCCAGCATTTGGTGTTCTTCTGTCACCCCAATGCAAGGTGGAACAACAACTCCCCTCCCAGCACAAGAATCCCTTTGGCGTTTCTGTGCCCCTTGCTTGGTGATCAGCAACAGGCATTGAGCACCACGGAGCGGCAGCACAGGCACTGACCGGGTCAGCTCTCAGCATCACTAATAGGGAACCAGTATCTCCTGCCACTGCCGCTCCAGCACTCTGACTCTGAGAGCTTGGCTGTGGCTCACCCTGCTCTCAGCAAGGCTGAGAATCAGGGAAAACTAGTGCATGTGGCATCTCTCAACACATGAACCCCTATCATCCTAAAGTAGGAGGGGGAAAGGGCCATTTGGGGGCTATAATTTGGGAAGGGTACATTCCTCGTCTTACTCTAAGATTGACAAACATCTTCCTTATCTCATTTCAAAATTTGAAACAAATCATTCCGTGCACAGCAGAGCTGATTAAGCCCCTTACTCTACAGATTTGACTGCAGGAGTTAATGCTTTGTGGGTTCTCTGATGTCTGAATGCAAGCTGAAGCCATTCTCTTGGTAGGACAAATCAGTTACACGAAAACATCAGTTTTCATTAAACTGATGGTACATAAAGCTTTTATCTGTCTGGCACATTTGGTTAAAATGGGCCAATATAGTCAAACGTTACAGAAGAGCCAGACACTATTCAGACATCTCAGTGTCAACCCTTCAGCCTTATTTCTTTAGACAAAAAGAAAAAGGGTACACCTTTTGGTCTCAACTAGAAGGATTCAAAGAGCTCTTGGTTTGGGGTGTTTTGGTTTGGTTTTTAAATAACACAGTTTTACTCTTTTCTAACTCAAAGCTGAATTTTGCTGGCTCTGAACACCCACTTTTGCTGGCAAAATCTCTCTAGAGACAAAGTGCTCACAAAGATTTCCTCACAAGGTGGCCACTTATCAGTGTTGGACAATACATATTTCACCCCATAGGGATCTGCCTTGCCTGACCCACACTAGAACTGGACAGTATGGGAAAAAGTGAGTTGCCAGTTTTGCTGTGAAGTTACCATCAGTAACTTGCTGTACAGGCTGGGAAGCTCTGGGTGCTTGAATGACAGGGAAGCTACATATCCAGGCAAGCAGGCTGGGCATGAACAGACAAAACATTTGATGATTTTACTCCTGTTCATCCAAGGGCGCATCTGTCAATATCAGGAGAGGACTGGCAAGTTTCTAAGACTAGAAGATTTCCATTTCCCCAGGAAACGAGGCTGTGATTGGCAGATACATCTTTACCAGGGTGGCTAGGAAGAATGCAGAGCTCACCTGCCTTCCAGGACAAGGTATCCTGCAAGCCCTTATCTGGATCAGGGTTGAGCACCACATGACATGCAAAGTAGGTAAGAAACTTCACTCTTATCACTGCAAGCCGGTGAGGTCTCTCTCCTTAACTAGTTTTTCTCCAGCCTTTTTAAGCCGTTTCCTTAACAGGTGACCAGGCCTTATCCTGTCATAAACATACCCGCTGCTAGTTTGCTGCTAGCGGAGGAGTGCTGCCGCGCAGGGGGCAAAGCGAGGCGCAGCCGGGCACCTCTGCCGGCCTCCCAGCCCTGTGCTGAGCGCTGCCAGAGGGGAGGCGAGGAGACGGAGAGCCCCTGAGCCGCTGGCGGCGGCGGAGGGCGTGGGGCCGGGGCTGGCCCTGCCACCTGCGGCCCCCCGG